TCAAAGTCAGCTGAGATGACACTGTCCTTTGAAGCAGAATGAAATGGGTTTGCCTCTAAACTGCCTCTGCTAAAATTCCCAGGAGCGTATGTTGTCAGGGTCACTTCTAGCTCTGAGTCTTTACCTCCTTGAACTTCCAGCCCACTCACAGTTCACCCATACTGTTCCCTGCCCCAGCAGACCCAGGTGAGGGACTCAACCCTGTCACTCTACTTCGCCTCCTCAAAGTCACTCACATGACTCATTTGTGAGCAGAGCAGATTCTCCTTAGGTTTGAGGCAGTGGTTGGGTTTCAGGTTGCCACGTGCCTAAGCCCCTCTTCATCCTCTGACTCCCGTCCCCCCAGTTAATGAAGATCAGTTCAGCAGTGTCTCTGTGATGCAAGAGACCAGTCCTCTGAGTACAGAAGTTCGAGGAAATTAAGGCTCTCTTTCTATCCTATATCAGACTGAAAAATTACTCCCCAGGAGAAGCAGCACATCAATCTAGACAGTACAGAGACCCTGTGTTCTGCCTCCCAGTCTGTCCTGGGGTTTGTGGGATCCAAGCACAGAGAGATTTATCACATGGTGAGTCCAACGTGAGCAGGGACACAGGCAGCCCCATCCCACTCCCTAGCTTGGCACAGAAGCAACGAAATGAGATACTCAGTGAACTACCAGGCCTGAAGGTGCTGGTGGATCATACTGATTGTGCATTCATAGGGCTGGTGACCAACAGGGAGACAGGAAATGGTGTCTAGGTGGAGGCCCATATGGACAGATGCCACCAAGAACCAGGTGGCACAACACTCATCTGGGCCTTGGCACTGACTGAATCACCTAGATCTGATGCAATTCTGGACAAAGGGGGACTCTCATGGTGACTGAGATTTATTTTCCAATATCCTGTGGATTGGAGTCTCCAAACAGAAGGTAAGTTGTTCTATAAAAATATGACCACATTTTCTTGTATACCTGAGTTTGTGGCCAAGAGTTAGCGGCACTTTCAGAATCCAAGGGCATAGCCTCTGCAGCAGGGGCTGCTGCTGGTCCCCCTGTACCCTGCCCTCACCCACTCAGTATACACTGGCTGACTCCCAGCTGGCAATACCCACACAGCCTCGTCTGAGGGCTTGCTCTGGCTGACAAAGCCTGTTTCATTCCTGCCCACCAGTGCAGCATGCTAGAAGTTCCAAGGAAACAAGGCTCCCACCCCCTCATGAGCCCTCAACCAATGGTTGTTGCAAATATAGCCCACATCCTTTGTCCACTGGGTGGAATAACTCTGAGTTTTGTGTTCTATACTGTCTTCCTGAATTTCTCCAATGGGATTACACTCCAGCTACCCACAGGAGTAACTGGTTTGATAACACATTCTTTATATGACCTGCCCTCCCCTTTCTCATTTCCCCACTATACTGCCTGTGTCTCCATCTCCCAAATAAACTACTGCTTGAACCACATGACATTGCCAATAGCTGCTCTTCTTTGCCTTATAAAAATGGCAACTTCCTACAGTTTAAACTAAAATTTACACTCAAATCTCTGTCTCTAGGTCTCCTAGGACAGATATCTGTATACTCTGTCTAAGGATTGTCCCCTCGAGTTCCTACCCAGCCACCCCTGGGGAGGGTCAATGGGAGGAAACTGCTGAACTGAATGCAGAGAACAAACCACTGAGACAAAACCTCTTCAGGTTTCACAGGACAGCATGGCCCATAGGAGGTGAGCCAGCAAAACATAGGCTACTTCAGGTTGGGGACATGCTCCACCCAGATATTACATATCACAGTGGGAAGTGTGGCCACAAAATGAGGAAACCATGAGATTAAAAAAAATGCTGTGATTGGAGATATGATGAAATGTTTGGAAGCAGAAGCCCTGGGTGTGGGCTGAAAATCTGCAAAAAGGAACATTTGGATGATCTTAGGAAGGTGACTGTGAAAAGTTCCAGTGGCCTATATGACCTGATTACAGGCCTCCCACCCTAGAGAATGCAATCCCTCAGAGGTGGAGGGCTCTGGGCATATAAATGGGCTCAAGTACACTTTGGCTAAATCACTACCCCAAACACAAGCATAACACGTTAGCCACCCAGCAAAATTAATCTGCCTCCATGGCTCACAGGGTGTGGAGACCACACTGCAAGGCGGCAGGCAGGAGCAGAACTCATACTAGGAGGCAGGCCTGTATTCACCTGAACAGATGCTTTTGCCTGTAACCCACAGGGCTGGAAATGCATTTTACCTGGAGGTCCACGGCACAAGTTTCACAAAATAATAATTACCCTGATTACCCTCAGTGTGCTTTCTTATTTTCAATTCTATTCTGTTACATATTTCCTAAAGGCTGGACATGACACATTAACTGATTTCACAACTCGCTTCTGGGTGGTGACCCACACACTAAACTATTGCCCTTAAATGCAACCAGAAGTGAAAGGATGTGGACAGTATTTCTGGGCTTTTCCTAAAAACTGTGTATTTACTGTCAGCCTCCATGTCCCATTCAGGGCTGCAGGGAATGCTGGGCTGGGCCAAGAGATTCTCTAAAATTCTGTTAAGCAAAGGTGGTTCCTATCTGCTGATCTGACGATTCAAACCAGGCATTGCTACCACTCTCACATTCTTTGCCACGTCCCATACCACCTGTGCTATGTATTATTCTACGAATATTCTAAGTCAACCCATCACTTTTTAAAATATAAGTACTCACACTAGCCCTGTCTTATGGAGTAATATTGGTGACATTTTGAAGTTATTCTCCTAATGCAAAATAAGACAAAAACACAACTATGCAAATAAAACATGCTTTTTGTGTTCCACCTTAAATCATAGAGCAAGTGGCCCTCCCTGCTCTGCTCCTTTCACAAAAATATGATCCAGTCTCTGCATAGCTCAAGCTGCCCCTAACCCCTAGAAAGACTTCGTCCTTCTGTCTACTCTCCAATGATAAGCAGCACCATTATCATGGCTAATGGTATTTAAACTCATTTAATCTTCACACCAGCCCTATAAAATGTTCGGGTCACTCCATTTTACAGACGAGGAAGCAAGGGTAGAGAAATCAGGCCGACTTGCCCACAGCCAGGAAGTGATGGAGTCAGGTCTTGAACTCAGGTCATCTGACAACATAGTCTGTGTGCCTAACTACTACATTACACTGCCCCCTCTGAAGTTGTCCACCCCAAATCTCTGGTGTTGCCTCCTACAGAACACCTTCCTGGACTACCTGTCCCAAAAGGCTGTTCTTCCTCTGTTTCCAAAACACTCACTTTTCGTTTAATTCATTTGAAAGGTAACCATAAACTACTTGGAGACACTGCCTCTACCAGCCTGAGAGCTTCTTGAAGGGATTCCTCTGTGTACCTCTGAGTCCAACAGCCTGCCTGTGGTATTAGAGGCCTTCGATGTCTCTTGAGCCCTGTGGTCTCTCCTTGTCGTTCAACAAACACCCAACATTCTTGGCGAGTTACCAGCTCACAGGCTGGTTTCCATTGAAGGCTGGGAACAGTCAGGGAGGAACGGGAGATGAGTCAGAGGCAAGAGACTCAAGGGGTCTTAACCTGGGGTCCAAAGATCCCCAGTGGACCCAAGCCTTTTATGCAGGAGGTCTGTGAACTTAGATGGGAACAGGGTAACATCTTTATTTTCATTGGCCTCTAACGGAAATTCAGCATTTCCTTCACATGGAATGTGACCCGTGACTCTGTCACCAGTAAAATCACTGATAGTTTCTTTCACATCACCATCATAGCAGACATCTCAAACTATGTACCGTCATTACTTCCTAGAAATTCTGGTTGTTTTCAGACCAACTGCTTTATCTTATATTTAAAAAATCGATACAGCAACATATATATAGCAGATACCATGACACAACTGAAAAAAAAATATCTTGGTACCTGTATTTTAATAGGATTGACATTTTTTGGCAATTTCAATAAGATCAGTAATCTAATGCGTTTTATTTTATGCTTTTTAAAACATTATTCTGAGATGAGTCCATAGGTTTCACCAGCCTGCCAGCAGGAGCCATGGCACAGAAAAAGGTTAAGACAGTACACAGAGCCCTGGTTTAGAGCTAGACAGATCTGAGTTCAAACCTTAATTCTGCCATTCACAAATCAAGTCACCTAGGCCTCAATTCCCTCATCTGTGAATGGGGATTATTACCTACCTTACTGGATTAGCATCTAACACCTAAGTAAAGGTGATACCCAAACCCAGCCTAGACTGCCTGGTGAAGTAGACTAAGCCTGGGGAGAGTGGAGCCCTCAGCTTCCTACCTCTCAGGTCAGAGAAGTCATTTGTCCCCCTCAGTCTGGCTGAGGCCAGATACTTGTGGCAGGACATGAAGGCAAACTTCAGATGCTTCTTAAGATACTCCATCCCATTTCTGAGCCCATAATCTGCACCCTATTCCCCAAACTGGCTGACACAATGAGGCTCCCAGGAGAGGCCAGTCACCTCCCTCTTTTAAGATCGACATGCATTTCTATATTTGTCCACTGGGTGGGGCTGGTTCGCACTCAATCTGTCAGCAGAACCAGCAGAGCCAGAACAGTTGGGACCATCCTTTCATCCAGTCCCTGATTTTTTTCCCCCTAGACTGAGCCTGACATTCAGAAAAGCTCCCCCTCTGTGTTCATTTCCAGTAACCTGCTACTTTAAGAATGGTGGTGACTATCCTAACTTTTAATATCGTAGATTAGCTTTGCCAGTTTTTAAACTTTATTTAAATGTAGTCATATAGAGTATATTCTTTTGTTTGGTTTCTTTTGTTCAGCATTATGTTTGCAAGATTATATGCAGTTGTAGTTCACTCATTTGCATGGCCCTATAGGTTCCATTAGGGGATTATTCAACAATTTGTCCATTTATCTGTTGAGTTGGCATTTGAATAATGTCCAGTTTGGGGTTTGCTTTATGGTTGCTCCGTGGAGAGTGGTATCCATGCCTCCCTCCACCCATCCAGAAATTCATTTAGAGCTGGAGATTAATAATGTAGTACACTCACCAAGAGGATCTGAAAGATTTATCAGCCACATAGTAAGGCTTTCTGGGGAGGGCAGGACCTATATATACTCAAGTCTGTTTGGTTTAAGAAGAAAGGGTAAGTGGCTCTAGTTTTCACAGTGGTTGGGGCGAGGGGGGTCCAGGATGAAGACTCCTTCTTCCACTGGCTGGTGTTTGAGTGGTCTTAACTCCTCACCCACACCAAGGAAGCAACTACCTGGGTTTTCTTATCCAGGAGTGGGGCAAAAAAGGAAAAGGGGAGTGATGGGGCTTGAAGGCTGTCCTGGTCAAACATCAAAAGTGGAGTCAGAAACATCATGCTATACACCAGAAACTGACACATTGTAACTGACTGTACTTCAATTATTTAAAAAATCAAAAAAAATGGAGTCAAACTCATCATCACATGGTTTTTACAGCAGTGCTGTTATGAACATTATTGTATAAGCCTTTTGGCAAACGCATTAGGCATTTCTAATGGGTATGTCTCTAGGAGTGAAGTTGCTGGGGAATATGTTTGTCTTCAGTAAATCCTGCCAAACAGTGTTTCAAAGTGATTGTACCAAATTACATTCCCTTCAACAACAATTATGGCTGAAGCAATCTGTTTATCCACTCTGCAGTTGAGGGGTATTTGGTTTGTTTCCAGTTTTTTGTGATTACAAAGTTGCTATAAACATTCATGTGCAGGTTTTTGGGTGAATATAGGTTTTCACTTCCCTTGGGGAAAAACTAAGAATGGAACTGCTAGGTTGTATGGTAAGTGTATGTTTAGGTGTGTAAGGAACCAGGCAAACTGTTTTCCAAAGTGGCTGTACCATTTTGCATTTCCACCAGCAAAATACATGAGTTCCAATTGCTCGCATCCTCCTACGTACTTGGATTGGTCAGTCTTTACTCTTAGCCATTCTAGTAAGTGTGAAGAATGGAACATTCTTCATCGTGGTATTAATTTGCATTTCCTTAAGAACTAATGATATTGAATATATTTCCAGATGCCTACTTGCCATTCATATATCTTCTTTGGTAAAGTGTCTTTTCAAATCATTTGCCCATTTAAAAAAAATTGGCAGAGTGTTTTCTTACTATAGAGTATTGAGGGCTCTCTGTAAATCAGGGATACAATTCCTTAATCAGGTATATGATTTGAAAATATTTTCTTCTAGTTTGTGACTTGCATTTTCATTGTAACAGTGCCTTTTGAAGAGCAATAGTTCTTAATTTTAGTGGAGTCCAAACAATTTTTTTCTCTTACAGATTGTGCTTTTTGTGTCCATTCACCCTCAGGTCACAAAGATTTTTTCCTATGCTTTCTTCTAGAATTTTTATGATTTTAGGTTTTACATTTAGGCCTGTGATCAATGAACCTCCTTAAGCAAACTTCAGAAGGGATTTGGAAGGGGCTTCTGATAATGGACATAGTGAAAGAGGTCAGAGTTTATGTCCAGTAAAACACTGAAGATACATAAGGAGGGTCATAGTTTCAGGGAAAAGAATCAAAAGTTAAGGATTTCTGCTAATTCAGTTTATTTTTCAGAAAAAAAATGGCATAAAGTTCTGGGGATGATGGTGGCTGCCTTCCTCTGTATCCACCCTTTGATAGATGTAACCTCTACATATAACATATATTTAGTAGCTACAACTATGCCTTTTCAGCCTATAAACAATTTCACATAGTATCGTCTTTTTTTCTGTGCTCCTCGGGGGACCATTTGTTTAGCCTTTCAAAAAGTTAAGAGTTGGGAGGGAGGCTTGTTTCATGCAACATGACAAGCAAACTCTAAGTAGCATAAAATACAGAGAGTTCATCTTGTGATCAGGATAATTAATTTGTAATGAATTACTTTCAGCAATCGTCCACCAATGTCCAGATCTACCTGAACCAACAGAAAGATGATTACTCTTATGGAGTAAAGAACCTGGGATACTTCTTTAATTTTATGGGTTACCTTTTTCCATCTACCTTGAGCCACAGTTAAAGTTCATGAGCTATCTTACTCTTCCTTTACAGAGGCAAAAGACAACTCCTGGGTTTGTGAAGCCCCAGTGGCATCCTTAGTTGCATTAGGCCTTGTCCTAGAATCCCTACAGGTTTTACCTTGAGACTTCCAAATTCAAAAATCCCAGTTCCAATGATTAGTGCTAGAAAAAGAGCATAAAACCAAATGTTCCTAAAGGTGAGGAGTTCTCTATATTCCAGAGCAGCTAACCAACAAACATGCTATGTCAGGGAGGAGCCACGTCTGACCTAGGTAGTCTTTAGGTGGGGGGAATTTTTATAGCACATTGTGTCCCAAACGTGGAATAAGCAGCAATCAGAGAACTTCAGAGACAATGCTAAAGTCTGTTGTGTACCAACTATTGGGTAGTCGTGTGTCACCACTGCAAAAGACATTTGAACGAGAGCGCCATGGTGGAAAGAAGCAGGGAAGAAGGATCTTCCTGATATGCAGCAGCAAACTCTGGTGGTGAACAAGGTGAGGACTCAAGGATCCTATGGTATTAGCTCAGGAGTCTTCACACACTAGACCTGAGGTGATTTATCTGGCATCGCCACATGGTCCTACACCGTGTGGTCTTCATTCAGACCATCTTGAATGCCACAAAGTAAGCCTCCTCTTCTTTCTAAGTCTTCCGGTTTTGGTGGTCTCTAAGAAGGGTATCCAGATTTACCTCATTTGCTCTAAGTTTTGATGTAGTTGTGGCTTGTCACTCCTGCATCCTTGAAGATGGTCAAGAGCCCCACAGAGTCACAGGGATGGTCAAGAGAACATCATAGGGCTCTTTCCCTCCAAGTTCTTTATTGAAATTCATTTTCACAGACCCTGAAACCTGCTGGAACATATGTGCTATATAGATTCTAGGGTGGCCTGGGCTGCAAAGAAACCTAGGACATAACTGAGTGCTTAACAATAAGAAATCCACAGACAAGTAAGAAATCCCTCAGGGTTGGAATGACACTACTGGAAAACCAGCTAGATAGCAATGTTGATATGGCCTGAGTCTCAAGATCTGGTAGACTGAAGAACTGCAGCGTTAGAGTTCATCTTGTTCCTTGGATGGGCTTCAGGTCCTGTAAAGCCTGCTTGTTGCAAAGTTTTATTTAGTTTTGCTTGGTGCCATAGTTTTGCTTCTATCTCACCAGGCCTTTGGAATTTTGAAGGGATATGTATGTGGTTTATGATTTACACACATTTGAAAAGTTGTCCAATAAAATGAGAACATCAGTCTGAGTTTAGATGAGTCCATTTTTCCCAGAGAGGAATGCATTTTTGGAGTCGTTCTTCTGGCTGTTGTAGCACCTGCCTTCCAGTAGGAGTCACCTCAGGCTACCCAGAGAAGCATAACAATTCAGATCCAGTGGGCAACTCCTAAGGCTTGGATCATCATTTTTGGGTGCTTCCCCACATTACCAGTAACAGAAGGAAGACAGTGCATGTAAAGAAAAACAACACACAGGAAAACCCAGGTCAAGCCTAGCAGGCTTTTTTATTCTATGGTGCTCCTTCATCCAATTGTGCCCTAAGATGGCAGCTCTGCCAGGCACAGAGAAGGGAGGGACCTGAGGAACACAGGTTGCCCATCTTGGTGGAGGCTATAAACAGACAGCACAGAATAGCAACCTGCTAGTGTGTGGGCAGCCTTTTCTTTATTGGGGCCCCACTCCATAGGCTCTGTGATGGTTCTTACATTGGAAAGTGACAAGGGGCTACAGACAGAACAGGGTGCTTATAAATGCATTCACACAATGGCCTGCTTCATCTCAAGCATTTCCCTTTGTGTACTTTAACTACTAAACAAAGCTTTTCTGGGAAGAAATTCATACTTGTAAATCCAATATACTAAACTTTAAATACTAGGAATCTAAAGGTGTCTTAGATGCTTCAATGTTAAGAATAATTTAGTAAGCCAGAAAGAGAAAGAAAAATATCATATGATATAACTTATATGTGAAATCTTAAAAAAAAAAGACGAACTTTTATTTACAAAATAGAAACAGACTCACAGACATAGAAGACAAACTTATGGTTACCAGTGGGGGAAGGGAGTGGGAAGAAAACAAACTTATGGTTACCAGGGGGGCCAAGAAAGTGGGAAGGGATAAATTAGGAGTTCAAGATTTGCAGATACTAATATATATAAAATAGATAAACAACAAGTTTATACTGTATTGCACAGGGAACCATAATCAATATCTTGTAGTAACTTATGGTGAAAAGAATACAAAAACAAATATATGTATGTTCCTATATGACTGAAGTATTGTGCTGTACACCAGAAATTGACACAACATTGGAAACTGATTATACTTCAATAAAAATTTTTAAAAAGAATAATTTAATAAGAATTCACCTTAAAAATACCTATATTGCTCATATATTTCAAGCCAGTTACAAAGCTGTCATTCTACCAGACCAAACCCACCCTCCTGTGACAAATACATCAAATATGCTTATTTCACACACAAAAAAAATTCATGCTATGGGCCTCTTCCCTTAAATATTTCTATACTTTATTCTAAAGTGTCCCAGGTTAAAAAGAAGTTTACCTACCTAAGGAAGGCAGTTATCATACTAGTGTCTGCTACTTACTAGCAGACACCTGGGCAGGGAGGCTGAAAATCTTATTTGAGACGCCATGGGCAACACTAAACTCCATATATGATTATGTTACTCACTCCATAGTATCAAAGTGGTACTGACTGGGTGAAAAAATTTAAAGCAAATCCAAGATATTATAATACTTCAGAAAAAAAGTTAGTACATAAATATATACCTAAATACATAAATAGGGGATGATCATCTAGTCCACTTCCCTGGGTTCAAGTTTTGTTACATACTTTTTCTCCCTAAAAGTCTGCAGCCCCTAGCCATGTTGATTATGTGATTGAGTTTTGAAATCTTAAGATATATAAAGTACATGTGTTAAGATATGTAAACACCTTTACATAAATATCCTTTGAAGTTGATGTTCCATAGTAATGTCTTTTGCATTTGATTTTCAGACATGAAGACCTGATGGAACTGTGCATTCTTTCATATTCACGGGACTACATAAC